CTCGTCTCGTCTCCTCTCCTCTCGTCTCTTCTCTTCTCTTCTCTTCTCTTCGCTTCTCTTCTCTTCTCTTCTCTTCTCTATTCTTCTGCTCCACCTCTGCTTTTCATCTGTCCATATTGTCGGAAGTTTGACTTCTAAACTTCCTTCGATTATATATATATACAGTACACAGTTCAATTTAATATATATATATATATTCCATTATACACCTGTGTTTGTGGGATATTCACTGGATATTTTCTCCAAGGATTGAGGGATCCAGCAGGGATGGGAAGAACTGGGTCCTTCAGAGTTGCTTCAATCCCCTCTTTTTGACAGCCTCAAACGATTTCAAACCCTATGGTTGATGTTTACATCCTCATCAAGTGTTGACAACTCGGCTACCTTTGACCGGTAAGATCGCAGCATTTTCCCCGCTTCAAACTCCCCTCCCACCGCGCCATGGCCTGGTGCCCACCAGCGTCCACTGGGCAACGACCAGGTGTCCACCACCTTCTGCGTGCGTTGATCGATGAGGCGCATGCTGCTGCTGCCATCGTTGGCTTGCGACAGAATCCACACGATCTGGCAGACTTTGCGGCAGAATGGCTGGGTTTTGATGATTTTTGTTGAGGAAGATCGAATTTATCCTGGATGAAGTCGAAAATGTTGGAATGCCAAAAAACTCAAAATGGCAGTTTGAAGTGGAAAAATGGTGATCAGCCACTGGATTGAGGGGTACCTTTTCTTCAGACAAACCCATCGACATTCTATCTACGAATGACTATCCACATAACTATCCCATGCCATACCAAAGATGTGGGTGTGTCTGAAAATGGAGCCTTCACTCCCTACTTATGGCCATCAAATGATAGGGATAATGATGATTAACCAAAGGAACTTAATGGCACTATACGTTCAGAGAAACCAAGACGAATTAAGCTGTTTGAGACTAGTGACTGGGAAATAATAAGGAAATAATAGGGAAATAATAGGGACATAATAAGGAAATACTAGGGAAATAATACGGAAACAATATGGAAAGAATAGGGAAAAAATAGGGAAATACTAGGGAAATACTAGGGACATGATAGGTACATAATCGGGAAATAATAGGGAAATAATAGGAACATAATAAGGAAAAAATAAGGACGTAATAGGTACATAATCGGAACATAATAGGGAAATCCGCCCGCACCGAAGGTGCTGGGGCGTGATCGTCCGGATGGCACTCGTAAAAGGTTACAGGTTTACCTGGGGGGGGGGGCATTTTTCGGCCAAAACCTCCTGTTTTTGATAGGTCGTGACGCTCGCCTTCAAAAAACACTGTAAAAAACAGTACGGAAGACACCTGTTCGTGAACGCGCCCGTCCAAAATCGGCAAGCGAACAGTGAAAAAAACCCGTGTTTTTCAACTTTTTGACCTCAATTTTTTGGTTTGCAACATCTTTTTTTGCGGTTCCGCAGGTGGCCGGGCCCGGAGGCGGATTTTTGAGTTTTTGGACCCGTTTTCGGACTGATTTTCGTCGTTTTGTGATAGCAGAAACACTGGTTTTTACAGTGTTTTTCTGTTTTTTGCATGCTTGACGGCTAGCTTCAAAACTTCCAAAAACCTTGTAAATTACGCTGTTTTGTTACGGTGTGAATGAAAACATCGTAAATACCAGTGTTTTTTGACGTTGGTTAAAAAAACACTGTAAATTACAGTGTTTTTGGCCACCTGACCCTCAAAAACCATCGTATTTGCAGTGGTTTCTGCTTCTCACCGCGCAAAAACACTGTAAATAACAGCAATTTCGCCGTTTTTTCATGTTTTTCGTTATTTTTTGAACTGCGTTGGTCCGCTATACATGGCCATCAAATTCTTCGCGTTTTTTTTTTCCGACAATCAGTACTTTCGGATGTTTTTGGTCTCAATGGCCAACATCATTGGCAGTTACGAGCGGTCGCGAAGGTGTGAGAACAACATCGTTCAAACCGTGGCGGCCGCACAGGGGTTCTTGTCGCGGAGCGACGGCAATAGAAGAGAACAATGGCAGTAGAAGAGAACAATGGCTGACATCATTAACAGTGTGGACCGTTCACTCGATATGTATATATATGATCTTTATATATATATATAGATATATCTCTCTATCTATCTATTGGTCTATCTTTCTCTATCTATTTTGGTTGGCCGACATCTTTGCCAGTGTGGAGCGTCCAGACAACAAAAGCCTACATCTTGCAGATGTGATACTTATAAAGCTTTCAAATTTATTGCTTGGTGCAAGGCAGCACCACACAACCTCAGGTTCAGTTCTTTTTTTTGCTCTGGCCGCTCACACACAGCAAGTTCGCAAACCTAAAAACCATGAAGAAACACACGCTCACCTCCTGTAGCTCGATCTCACCACCAACGCGTCGTTCGATCCAATCGGCCAGAGGGACTCAGATCATCCGCGGTGGCCAAACTTCGAGACTGCCAGGAGGCCAGGAAGTCGAAGATCGCTTCGCGCCTTGGAAAAGCTATCCTCTTTCAGGCCACTGACGAAGGCCTCAACTCCTTCGCTCCACTTTCCGCTCCGCCCCTGAATCATGCCCCTGCTGTGTGAGCCCAACGATGCGGTGCGGGCGGTTGCCGTCGCGAAGCGACGTGAATAATACGGAAACAATATGGGGAAATAATAGGGAAATAATAGGGAAATACTAGGGACATAATAGGAAAAGAAGATGGAAATAATAGGGAAATAATCTGGAAATAAGACGGAAACAATATGGAAATAATAGGGAAATAATAGGGAAATACTAGGGACATAATAGGAAGAGAAAAGGGAAATAATAGGGAAATAATAAGACAGCAAGTGTGATGTATGTGCTCCAGACTCACAATATGTCCCTATTATTACCGTATGTTTTCCTTATTATTTCCCTACTATTTCCCTATCATTTCCCTATTATTTCCTTATTATTTCCCGATGATTTACCGATGATTTACCACCTCAAGCCCCTGTTTCCTTCCCTCAGCGCCTCCATGGCCGGATCAATGTCGACTCCGATGATGGTCTCGCGTCTAGGGCTCATGGACCCTGTGTGCGAGTCCTGCGGAGTCACCGGGGGAACCCTTCGCTCCACATTCGGGAAAAACGGTGAAAACATGTGTGTATATATATATATATATACATGTTATTACAACCGTAATAACTGTATACATCTAGGGATCTCAATGTGTAGTGTATAGTGTGTATTTATATATATATACATAATTATCTATATATATATATACACACATAATTATATATATATACATAGATACTGAGATCCCGGTTTATGACAACAACTTTAAAATCAAGCCATTCAGCCAGGCTTGCCCCCCGAGCCCGGTCCACAATGGAGACTACACTCTCCGCCACCATACGACGCCGGAGTGAAATCAACATCTGGACCTGGTGCCACGTGTAGCCCTCGGGGTTTGACCAAGAAATTGGGAAACATTTTGGGGATATAACATGGATAATCATGGATAATCACCTCAGATTATATGTTTGCTCTCTCGTGTCGTCAAATATGACTGGGGAATCCCTAGCCAAACAGACATGTCGATGGGAAAACCATCAACTTTCGGCAGATCTGAAAGCTTAATCAACCACTGCAAAACCGAGCTGGTTCACCAGTCAAACGCACGTTTCTAAAATGTGCAAACACACCCTTTGGTAAGCTGACATAACTATCAAAAGTCATCATTTTAGTAGGGAAATCATCTATACATATATATATATATAGACGGACCTTTTTTCCATAGCTATGCTAGTTTGCTGACGGCAACCAACAAATGTGCTGAGACAGTGGGGATTATCATCCCATTTGGAAAAACGAATTCCAAAGATGTCGAAGCGCAAACCCTGGTTTGGGTTGACATTCCATTGTATCCCCATCATATCCTTTTCATATTCCCACGATATCTCCACTATATACCCATTTGGTTGTTCCGTGGTTGTTCCACGGTTCTTTTTCATGTTGTTGATCTCCCCATGACTTACATTCGGTCCCAAAATTTGGGATCCACTCTCGGGCATAGCTATGTACAATTGTGCTATTGTGGCATAATCAATAATACTCGTACTCAACAAATTTCAACCTGTTGAACGTTGCTTTTTCAGTTCTTTAATCCAACCATCATCATTTCCTTCCTTTGAAAATGATCATTACTGCAATACCCTGTCTTTGTAGGCTAAATGTGCTGCCAAAAACATATCTTATTCACTAACATGAGCCGCGTTCAAAACCCGAACTGTTGTCGCGTTAGTACTGGTTAAGAACGAATTTCCCATGGGTTATGATTGTCTCCAATTGACATTGGTTGTTGTATAACACACGACTTAATCATCAACAAATCATGTCTCGACTATATCCCCATATTCTTGCTGGTTGGACCCCATATTTGCTGCTTATCCGTTTCCCAAACTAATAATCAAGCAACAATGGTTTTGAACATTGCATCCCAGTTTATCAAATATCATATGAAAACATGTTGATGTTTTTTAATGCAGTCATCAAAAACTCCCACTTTTTCTACCAGTAATCAAACGTGGCTTGAAAATCCGCCATTTGTAGATGATTTCCCAGCTAGAAACTTCCATTTGAAAGGATTCGTCCATTGCCACGTTTGATTACCAGAGGGTAAACATATGTAAACATCATCTTTGCTAATCATCCATTCTTGTCCATGTGATATCCCCAAATGTTTCCAAATGTTTTTCTTAGCTAAATCATCCAAAGAATCTTAGTTGGCTAACACTTTCCCTCCCCATCTTTATACATGTTTTTCCATATGTAGATGATTTTCCTATTAAAAGCTCCAAATCTTCCATGTTCCCTTCCATTTTTATAGAGATCTGTCCATTTTCGCCACCATTTCCACCCAGGCGCCGGTCGCAGCTCATCCTCCAAGGTGGGACAGAGCACAATGACTTGCCCGGAATCGGTGCCGCCCAGGACGGCCTCTGATGACGATGATTTGGGGCCCCCAGGACGAAACGAAAACCTCCATATTTCCCCACCTGCCAGGTGAGGGTTGTTAGATTTTATTAGAGCTGTTGCCCTCCTCCTCCTCTTCCTCCTCGTCCTCCTCCTCGTCCTCCTCCTCCGCCTCCTCCTCCAGTTTCTCCTCGACCATGTCTGCATCAACTTCCACCTCAACTTCCGCCTTGCCAACTCTTCGCCAAGCTCTTCGCCAACTTCCCAGCTCAGTGCGCACTGCTGCACCTCAACCTCACACAATCCCAGCTCAGTGTGCACCGCTGGACCTCAACCTGGGACCTTCCCAGCTCAGTGTGCACCGCTGGACCTCAACCTGGGACCTTCTGAGCTCAGTGTGCACCGCTGGACCTCAACCTGGGACCTTCCCAGCTCAGTGTGCACCGCTGGACCTCAACCTGGGACCTTCCCAGCTCAGTGTGCACCGCTGGACCTCAACGGCCAGATAGAATGACAGAAGATATGATATGCCAGATAGAATGTCAGATAGAATGCCAGAAGATATGCCAGATAGAAGGCCAGAAGGTATGCCAGATAGAATGCCAGAAGATATGCCAGATAGAATGCCAGAAGATATGCCAGATAAAATGCCAGAAGATATGCCAGATAGAATGCCAGAAGGTATGCCAGATAGAATGTCAGATAGAATGCCAGTAGGTATGCCAGATAAAGAAAGATAAAGTGCCAGAATGTTTGCCAGAAGATATGCCAGAAGATATGCCAGAAGATATGCCAGATAGAATGCCAGAAGGTATGCCAGATAGAATGTCAGATAGAATGCCAGTAGGTATGCCAGATAAAGTGCCAGAATGTTTGCCAGATAGAATGCCAGAAGATTTGCCAGATAGAATGCCAGATAGAATGTCAGAAGATATGCCAGAAGATATGCCAGATAGAATGCCAGAAGATTTGCCAGTAACAAAATGTATAAACGTCATGGTGGGGATAACTCGAAGTAAAGTAATTGGGGATAAAATGATCCATGAAAAAAAGAAACATAATGCCATAATGCATTGTGATGTCCCTATCCAATGTCCCCATCTTGTATATGGATATTATGGAGTTATCCTGTGATAAAAAAAAATACAAAATGGGCATATAGATGGTGTGACTAGGAAAAAAATGGGAAAAATTAATGATGTCATGGAAGTGTTGGAATGCGTATTGTTTTTTCTGAAAATGTCGGGGAAAAAAGTGGATCATGATCACTATCCCCATGAAAATGTCCACTTGAAGGATATATACCCCATGTTCAGACAAACCAAGACGCTGTTTCTGTGATTTTGATGGTGAGCACAGAAGAAACATGGGAAAGACACAGGTTTCGGGGGGGCCCCAGTTCGATAGCGCATGGCTTCCTGTATTTGTGTTCACTAACGTCAATCCATTGATATGTGTCAATGAAAAATGACCACCTGAATAAGATAGTTGTGCGGAAAATTCTGAGAAAATCTGTGTGTGGTTCCAGGTTTTGGCAATGATGGCTGCATTGACGCCTGTTGTGTAAAGGGCAACAGAAAAAAATATCACCACAGAGATGGCAAGACCAGCGACATCTGCGATACGTCATGGGGGTATGGTGCTGTTTTCCCTGGTTTTTCTCCAAACTACACGCCTTCTAGCCAGAAAAAATATGTGCCACAATTTCTTGCACTTTTTGTGGCTTCTCTAAACCAGGTTTCTGGTGGATTACCAGTTCGTACCCCACAATTAAAACAACCATCAACCCTGCATCTTCCAAAGGCGAAAATCCACTTTGACCAAAACATGCCATGTGATGAGATGTTCAATCCAGTTTGGAGTGCCAATTTTGGTGAGTCAACAAAAATCGCAATCATTAGCATACATCCTTTCACCACAAAATGGACAAATCTTACATAGATCTTTATACACCAAAGAGTGTCAAAGCATTGCGTATTTCAGAAAAAAATGAGTAAATCATTTCTTGGACACTCATTGGACACAACCCCCTAGCAAAAGTGCGGAAATCCTTTTTGTTGGCCAGCCCTAGCACCCAGCCCTCGCACCCAGCTTTCGCATAGCCTCTCAAGCCTCTCAATGGCCTAGTCTTTCACCTAATTTTTCACCGTTTTTCCAAATCAAGAAAACAATTTACAATTTTCCACCTCAATTTCCTCAACAATCCTCAAGACCTGTCCCAAGTTCCCTTACAATTCCCCGACCATTTTCCGATTTCAGCTCTCGTCCCACAACTCGTGGGTAATCTGAAATCCTCCAGTGAGATGAATTTGGAGCTTTCGTTCATTGGGAAAAAATCATCGAACTCTGGCTAAAACTTCCAGCCATGTTTGATTACCAGAGGGGCAAACATCATCTCTTTAACAGCCACTTACTAACCTACAATGCCTGGGTTTCGCACAAGTCCCCAGGGCGACTGGGTTTGTCTAATGCCGTTCTCTCTAAATCCCTTGGTGAATCACCATGTTCCTTCTATCCCATGCCAATACACTCTGGCAATCAAACATGGCAATTGAACATCTAAAGAAAATTTTGTTTTAAGATGTTTGATCTCGACGGGTAATTCTCTATTGCCATGTTGATTACAGGGTATATATCCATGCCTTTTCTGGGTCATAACTCGCAACTTGAGCCATGAAAAATTGCCACACACTCCATCCGATTCTACACATCCGATTCTACTGCTAGGTTCATAGGTATCCCATGGTCTCCCATTAATTCTCTTTTATCATCCCCAAATCAACTTTATATCATATTAATAACATGATATCATCATAAAAATTAACTGTTTATCCTTTTTTTTCTGGTTGATCATCCCCATGGATCTGCCCATGTTTTTCCACCACCGTCTGGAGCGTCCCGTGTCGTCCCATCCTCCTGTGTCCCAGGTGCCCATCCCATGTCCACGAAGCCGGGGCGGTCGCTGCAGACCACCGCATCGTTGCCCTCCATGACCTGCAGTGCCATGAGTCGATGATGCGGCAGCGAATTCCCCAGGCGCCAGGACTTCCTGGGCGAAGGCGGAAAAAAAATTCACCTCACGTTTTCTGAAAAAAAGATAACAGGAATATCTTTGCTATGCTATGCTCTTGATCCTCATTGTTATGACATGTTAAACTATCATCCGTTATCATTGGTAATCATGTATGATGATAATTCATTATTACAAGTAACTACTGGTATCGGTATCATTATTGACTTATTGGGATTATGTGTTTGATCATTGTGATGTTTTTGGTCTTGTCACTTATCGTTCTTACTATAAATTATTACCGAGAGTGAAAATTGGCCCAATAAAGGTCCGAAAAAAAAAGAGCGGGTGCAACCAGTCATAGATCTGAATAGGAAAGCCTGCGGACAGGAATAGGATAGTCTTATTGGGAAAATCTATAAATACGATTAAATACGCTATAACCTGTTTGCTTTTTGCTGGTCGAAGCCGAATTGCACCTAATATGGAAACATGATGGAACATAAAGATTGACATTTCCAAGTTGGAAAAATCGTCCTGCAAAACCCACTTTTGGGGGTTCCATGTCACTTTCAAGAAAACCCAAGATGTCGGGGAATATTGTTGGGGTGCCAATACCAACATGGATGCATATCAAACTTGGGTCTCCGCCCACACCACAACAACCATGTGTCATGGTCCCAACACTTTAGCCCGGTGTTACTTTCCAGTCATCACAGGGAAACATCTCGAGGCCCAAAAGGGCACTGAATCGCCCAGAGTCTTGCCCGGAATCCAGGGGTAGATGGATTGCTCAGTGAGGTTCCGAGTGTCTTGGTGCAGCATCAACACCTCCACGGAGTGGGGACCCGGCACGTGGCACTGCCATCACTTGGCGTGAAAGTGTGCCCACTGAGAATTCGATGGTTTACTCCTAGAACAGCTATTTCTCTGTGTCCCAAAATGGAGGATACCGTGAGGATACCCCAATTTATGGCCATTCTCATGTGGAAAAAGAGGGCTTTCGAAGCCTTGGAATGGACTCTATGTGGCTTTTAGTACTAAAATGAACCGAAACCTGTGGTCCTCTGGTGAAATAACTCCTCTATCAGGGTGATAATTGAACTGGTCAAATCCCACTTCTTGACGGTTACATCATGTTAAATTTATACATATATATATACATATATATATACATATACATATATATATATATATTGTGTATATATATATGTTTATTGATGGTTATATAAATCCCCGACATCGTCTCCCTTGATCATTTACACTAATTCACTCACCTGAAATGTTCGACCACACGTCTTCAGTCTGCTGCGCACCCCCCGCGAAAGCAAGGGTGAACAGTGCCTGAAATGCTTCGCCATTTTGGGGATAGTTGTCATTTACTATCCATCAGTTCAGTTCTTATTGGTGATCTGTTCCGGTAATCAAACATAGCTGGCTGGAAAATCCCTTCTTCCAAGCTAGATTTCCCTACTTATAGTGGATTTCCCTTCGATTTCCCATCAAAACTTCCAGCAGTACAGGGGGCCCTTTGCGAAGGCCTTGCCCTTGCGTCGCAAAATGCCAAAGCTGGTCCAGGAGGCCTTCGCGCGGGAACATGGGGCGGCTGTTTGTTGGTGCTTCCATCAGTTTGGGTCCTGAAAACCACCACATGTTTCATCACAACGCACATGTATTCAACTTCAAAGCCCATAAGAATCCATAAGACATGTATAGATGACATGTATATTCCATGTTTCTTGGTCAAGAATTCCATTCCCAAAGCATCTTAAAGCTACAAAAGTTTATTGCTCCAGATCCCCGCTGAGAGCCGATCTTTCGCCTCCAAATCAATGGCAGGGATCACAGGATGAAGCGTCACGTTCTGGAGCTTTAAGGGACGCCTGAGGATTAGGAGGTTCCAAATTAGGAAGCGACACCAAACCAAGTGTAGACACCCAAACAATATGGTGAAACAACAAAGTTTCTCGTGAACGGCGGGATTGCAACTCACCAAAAATGGTGGTGCATATTTAAGTGAATAGCTCTTGAGATGGGAAGCAATGAGGATGTTGATCAACAAACATGCGGTAGCGACCAACAAAACAGGATGTCTAAGTATCAAACAAAAACACAGGGGGGACATTTCAACCAAACAAAAAATGGAGGATATCCACTGAGCAAAAGATTGATTTAACCAAAATATGTTGTTGATCAACCTTGGTCATATTTCCCCGCTCAGAAAGAATTACATTGTCTAGAAATGGAGAAAATCAGACACCCAACATCTTGTAGTATATGAAATGGAGACTGAGACTCATTATGATGTGTGTATATATATACACATTATATATATATACCCACACATACGTAAGAATGAATGGCAAGAGTCAGTCCCATTAGCCCAATCTCTGGTGCTTATGTTTGGGTTCCACTATCCTCGTTTCTACTGTGGATCTCCCATGCGATTTCGCCATTTTCAAGCCAAATGGTGTTGTCTTAAAATGGTACATCCCCATTCCATCCCCATCCCATGGTTCATTCTTTTCCCATGAAAAGATATCAAGGAAGTCGATTTTGGGGTAGTACCATTATGTTCAAACAATCTCAAATCCCATTTGCAAATCCTGGCCAAACAGCCAAATCCCACTTCTATCCCATGTTTATGAATGTGTCTCCCATTTTTGTGAGTCTCTACACCCCTATGTTCAGGGTTGCTCCCAACACCCCAGATAACAGTAGGGGAAAAGTTGGTAGATAAGAAGGCAAAATTACACTTGTTTCCCCTCCCCCCAGGCGCCAAAATTAAGTAGCGATCATTGGCCTATGATGGCTTGGAGCAACCTGATATCTCCTGGTTACATGCCAAAATATACCGCATTACATATCCCCATTCTAATCGTAGTTATCACCCAATTAACTTGACAACTCATCATGATATATGTAATCAGAAATGCGGATCAGCACTCCCATTGGTGGTTAGATTCTCACAAATAACCCATTAAATTTTGTTGCTCAAACTCTCATTCTTCTTGTTCAAACCTCCAATTTCCATGCTTCACTATGTTGCATGTTTGAATCACCACTTTTCAGCGATTGAAGTTCCAGGTTCGAGAAATCCCCCCGGTTTTCTGACCTGAACCCCCCCGGGTTTTCTTCGTCTCCAATTTTCATGCTGAACCCGGTGAACTTCACGGATCTCGGTCCCAAGCGTCTGCTCCACGTCCGCCAGGTGCTCGTGGCGTTTCAGGTGCCGGCGGCCGCGCAGCGAGTGCACGTCCTGCTCGTAGATCTCGGTGGCCTCGTCGTCCCAGTAGAGGTCCGCACTCCAAATGGCGAACCTGTGGAGCACCGCGGAGCGGAGCGGAGCGGGAAGTGGGTCTTCAATGGCCAGAGACGGGAAAAAATCTCGGGGGGGTTGCTGTAAATGGGAAAGAAATATACGAAATGGAGGGATTTTCCATTGTTTGACCAGCCAAAAATTGGGAAACATTGGGATATAACATGATGGATACTTATCACCAAAGATGATGTTTACCCGCTGGAAATCAAATGTGGCTGGCTGGAAAATCCTTTATAAATGGAGGTTTTCAGTTTGAAAAAACCTTGCTGTGTTACCGGACGGTAGTTGAAGGGACATATCGGTGGACCCCGATATCCCATGGCAGTAGCCCATAGGGATGACCGCAGATTTTCTGGATTCCCAGGCCCAAGAATCCACCAAAAAATCAACCGGGGGGGGTTGAAACTTATCTCATGATATCCCCATCCACAAAATGGTAACAATCAGTTTTAACCTCATGTTTGATAGTATTCGATGGTTTCACAATAGTTGACAATAGTTGACACAATCCCAATTCTTGATTGTTAACCCCAACTTGCTGATGGCTAAACCACTATTCTGATGGTTAAAACCCCAACAGCTGATGGCTATCCACTATTTTCATTCATTTTGATGGCTAAATCAACGTTGTCCCAACGTTTTCCCCACGTTTTCCCCCAGCTCCCTGCGCACAACTCGTCGTCACGCAGCTGATCCCCCACATAGACCGTGGCGTCGTCCGTGCCGCAGGTCATGGCGCTGGGCCTGGCTTCTATCTAACCATCTCTAGAAAACAGATATGGATATAGATATAGACTTAGATAGCGATAGAGATAGATAGATAGATGGATAGGATAGGATAGGATAGGATAGGATAGGATAGGATAGGATCGGATGGGATGGGATGGGATAGGATAGGATAGGATAGATAGGATAGGGATAGGGATAGGGATAGGGATAGGGATAGGATAGGATAGGATAGGATAGATAGAACAGATAGGACAGATAGGACAGATAGGTAGACAGACAGATAGATAGAAAAGATTGACTGATTGATTGATTGATCGATCGATCGATAGATAGATAGATAGATTGATAGATTGATAGATTGATAGATTGATAGATTGATAGATAGATTGATAGATTGATAGATTGATAGATTGATAGATCGACGATCGATAGATAGATAGATAGATAGATAGATAGAGAGATAGAGAGATAGAGAGATAGAGAGATAGAGAGATAGAGAGATAGAGAGATAGAGAGATAGAGAGATAGAGACAGAGATAGAGATATATATATAGAGAGAGAGAGAGAGATGTGTATATATAGAGAGAGAGAGAGAGATGGAGAGAGAGAGAGAGATAGATAAGATCAGATCAGATAAGATAAGATGAGATAAGGTCAGATAAAATAAGATAAGATCAGATAAAATAAGATAAGATCAGATAAGATAAGATAAGATAAGGTAAGATAAGGTAAGATTTGATTAGATTAGATTAGATTAGACTATAAATATTATATATATATATGTAGGTCTGGATGGATGGATGGATGGATGGATGAATGGATGGATGGATGGATAGATGATAGATAATGCTTGTATGATATATGATGTTCTTTTAGGTTAAACCTCCCTTTTCTGATATACAGTACGATTTAGATGGATTTTACAATTAAAACGAACTGCCAAGTATTCAATACTTAATATAATCAGTAATTAATGGATAATTACTGCAACCAATATTCTGCTCACCACTGGTCAATGGACAATCAATGAATTTAATAGTTGATTCATTCGTCACACATCTATATCGATTTATACGGATTGTATGGATTTGTAAGGGTAAGCCATTTAGTGGGATCGTAATCGCACCAAGTTATAGCAAAGTTGGTTTAAAAAAACTAATGACTAGTCTGACTCGGATTTATGGTACAGTAGACGTATGTACAAGGTGGAGGGGCACCGCCTTACACTTGGGTTTGCAGTTAAAGTTGATTTGACTGAGTCTAGTGATGGGATATAGTGTGGATATTTTTACAACATTAACCAAGCGCATTTTGTGGGGATATAATCTGGATTTCATCGGATATATATATATATATGTATGTGTGTGTGATCAGCAATATGATATGATTTGGGTCTGTCTGGAAAATGCGTATTTAAATGGCCATCAAATCCATCAAATAACAGGAATGGTGATTGATCACTGGATGGTACCCGGGTAATGACCCCCGTAAGTTGGAATATTTTTGCCCCAGAACTATGGATTTAAAATAACCACTTACAACTTATAACTGGAACCCCAGTTAGCATGGATTTATGTCACGATTTATGTGGATTTCTGTGGAATCATGTGCATTTACATGGATCTAGATTAGCATTTGGAGTTATTACATAGCTACTACTATACCATTATGGTCCTGAGTTCTCTGCTCATTTGGGGATGGTATCAAGTTGGGGGATTCAAACTTTGACCAAGCCCCAGATCTAAACAAACATCGTTCATAAAAAATCTCAGAAATCGGCAAAAGTGATGAGAAATCATGAAAAATCACCAATATCATGAAAACTATGTTAAAGCCAATCAAAATCATTAAGATATAAATACAAACAGTATTCTCATTTTGCTCCGGATCCCCTCTCGATATGTTCAATCGGTCGCCAACCACTTTGGATGTTATCAGGAGGAGATACGGCATCAATCTGGCACAATTTCATTCATGTTTTTGGTAAGCCCCAAAAAAGATCAAAAAGTACATTGGGGATTGCCACATTCGGGCTACTTTTTTCTTAGTTAGATGGCCTCTAAATCCGAATACCAGTTGTACCCATTTGTATGGGTGAAAGGTTGATTTAACTTTTACCCAACCCAAGGTTTATCCACTAACTATCAGCTTTCGCAGGGGTAAAGCTCGCCCGAGCCTGAAATGTTGATGCGGCCATTGCACGTTCCTCAGGTGTCCGTTTCGCTGCTGACTCCAACATGATCTGGATCGCCACACATCCGAACGAATAAAAAAACGAACAACCATGTGAAGAAAATCATCAATGATGACTATCAATATGATCATTTGGAATGAATCCTCAACCTGACTTTGAAAACCGTCAAGTTGATCATAAACCCATGCCATTCTCCGCAAAGTGGTCAGTCAATCGCTAAGAAATCCCCTTTGGAACTGGGGCTGTCCCAGCATCCCAATTCATGGTCTGTGCATGAGAAAGTGGAGAGCAAATCCCACTTCCAACGTCCCATCGTATATATTCCCTTCCCTATGATGTAAGGAAAGACCCCCGCGAAATTTTGGTGGATACATGAGGGACCTACGTCATTTGGAGGGTCCCTGGAAGAAGGATGCAAAATGTGTTTACTATGATAGGGGGATGAAGTCATATTCATCTGTATCTGATCTGGTATATTGGTTATGTTATGTCCCCATGTTTGTAGCTTCGATACTCATTCATGCAAAGCTTCGATACTCATTCATAGTAAGTAAAGCCCGCAATAGTGTAAGGGGGTGACATGGATTTCTTCAACCATTGATGTCCTCTTGGAATCATGGACCAGCCGGTTTAGTACATTGCCATCATTAGAATCATCGACCATTGACCTATGTTCAACGAGGGATACCCCTCTACTTTATCAGCCAAGCAGCAGAAAAGGACTACAGGTCAGAGTCAAAACCTGATAGAAAATGGTGCCAGTATATCCTATTAAATTATATCCTTGTAATTTTGTTCTATAAAATCTAT